GTGGCACTTGAGCGGCCGTATGACACTTGCCCTTGAGCGGCCATTGTGACTCTTGAGCGGCCGTTGTGACACTTGACCCTTGAGCGGCCATTGTGACACTTGAGCGGCCGTTGTGACACTTGACCCTTGAGCGGACGTTGTGACACTTAACCGACCGTTGTGACTCTTGAGCGGCCGTTATGACACTTGAGCGGCCGTTATGACACTTGCCCTTGAGCGCCCATTGTGACACTTAACCTTTGAGCGGTCTTTTTGACACTTGACCCCTGAGCGGCCATCGTGACACTTGACCCATAAGGGGCAGCTCCTGGATGAGCCGGCCCGATGTGTATAATCATGTATATATATAAACAGTCATAATCAAAGAGAGGTAGAGGTCCAATTTAATTTTATGTTGTATTCAATCCATTTCTTCATAGTCTTAAGTAACTTGCTTAATATGGGCTGGTGTCTCTCTCTCTCTCTCTCTCTCTCTCTCTCTCTCTCTCTCTCTCTCTCTCTCTCTCTCTCTCTCTCTCTCTCTCTCTCTCTCTCTCTCTCTCTCTCTCTCTGTGTGTTTGGTCTCCTCCATAATTCTCAGCCCAATATATTTCAGTATTTAATATACATATACACTACATATATATAGATATATATACCTGTAGAATGTAGAGCACTGAGAGGTGAGCCTCATGCGAAATCGTCAGCTAACTCATCAACCTTAAAATATAAAAAAAACTACCCATCGCCCATCACAAGATGGTGAATCAGAAGGTAATTCTTTTGATACGGTATAAACGATTTTCCCGTGAACGTCTATGAGATTAGGTGACGTGACTCCTCCACAGAGGCCCCCATGACCAGTAAGGTAAGCCAAAAGTCACCTCACTGGTGATGTGGACCTCTCCGAAGCACTTGCCCTTATCCAGCCTTCCCACAAACCCTTCCTTTTATTTTTTTATCGCTAGAATAATAACGCAAAAAGGAGATTATATTCGTCTATCGGTTCTAGCTTTGGTTAAATGGGTATTTTGTAAGTTTGTACCGTTTGTTTTGATTCCTTCTGTGATAATTGGTGAGAGGAACGTGTCATAATGTTGTTTGGGTAGTGGGGAGCGTGCGTCTGGCAGCGGTGGGTCCTTCAACCCGAAGGGCAAGGCTAAATTAGGTGACAAAAAAGTCCTTGTTTTGCAAGAGTGAATATCGTGTATAAAGTCTTCTTCAGAGACCTCGTGCGTGAGGAGGTTGGTGAACACTCCGGGATGATTCTGTTCACTCTGATGTTTATTGTGCGTGTTGCGGGCCTCTCGAACTGGACGGAGTTAGTTTTTCATTTGACCCGGATGGAAAAGGCTCGTTACATCGCCACAGACCCGGATGGAAAAGGCTCGTTACATCGCCACAGACCCGGATGGAAAAGGCTCGTTACATCGCCACAGACCCGGATGGAAAAGGCTCGTTACATCGCCACAGACCCGGATGGAAAAGGCTCGTTACATCGCCACAGACCCGGATGGAAAAGGCTCGTTACATCGCCACAGACCCGGATGGAAAAGCCTCGTTACACTGCCACAGACCCGGATGTAAGCATCATACTCATGCGCTTTCCCTGTTTGCAAATTACCAGCAGGTACAGGCTGTTGAATCAAGCTACAAGGTGGCAGGGGTTGCCAGGTGTATGAGGGTGGTCAGCTCGTTAGTGTGAGGTAGAATGAGGCTATGCAGCCTTGCCAGGGTGTTAGAATTGCCCTTGTTTTATTCCTACGGTTTGATGTTAAGATTTCTATATCTTTTGTAATGAATCTATTTGAATAAACATATGTAACCTACATGATTCATTCTTTCAAATCCTTCTTCATATAAAGCTTTGTTTTTTTTTAAATATATATTTTTTGTGTTGAGGACAGGAAGCGTATATACACACACACACACACACACACACACACACACACACACACACACACACACACACACACACACACACACACACACACACACACACACACACACACACACACACACACACACACACACAACATTATATATATATATATATATATATATATATATATATATATATATATATATATATATATATATATATATATATATATATTCCCACCTTATGAGGAGGAGGAGGAACTCGACAACCAACTTTGGCAATACAATACTGACAATAAACAACATTGTACATATCTATTTATATAATAACTAAAAACCTAAAGTAAATTATACATAAAATAAGGGACCACTATATGCAAGAAATATATACATATATAACATAGTAAACATACTTAAGGAAGATGATAATTACAGCGTAAACAACTGAGTAAAGGATAATGGGTCGTTCAACTCTTAGACTCATTCTAGCTATTAAGATGCTCTCCAAGACGTTCAATTCCAAGCGTGACCAGCTAATGAAAGGAACAGGGAGATCACAGTAACTGAACGGATGGTCCCATTTTCTTGCTGTAATCTCGAGGAGCAGGTAAGGGAGGGGTCCCTTGTCTAAGGGCTAAGGGGCAAACTAATGCGGTAAGAGATACTCAAATATCCACAAATACGTTTAATATTTCTTGAGATATTTTCCCCACGTATCGGGCTTTGAAAAGATTGACAGCACCAGATCTCAGGTCACGAGGTAGAGGGGTCTCTACGTTTTAATCAGTCCCTAATACTCTATTTGTTGGTAAAGAAGAACAGGGGGAAAGAAATTTGTGGATAGGTATGCCTATCCGGTAGAGGGAGCCGGTCGGCTGAGCGGACAGCACACTGGGCTTGTGATCCTGTGGTCCTGGGTTCGATCCCAGGCGCCGGCGAGAAACAATGGGCAGAGTTTCTTTCACCCTATGCCCCTGTTACCTACCAGTAAAATAGGTACCTGGGTGTTTGTCAGTTGTCACGGGCTGCTTCCTGGGGTTGGAGGCCTGGACGAGGACCGGGCCGCGGGGACACTAAAGCCCCGAAATCATCTCAAGATAACCAAGATATGCCTTTGAATATTATTGACAGTTTCTAAATACAGAATTTTGACAATATTTGTCAAAACAATGACTGACAATGTTTGTCAGTCATAGAGACTGTACCAACTAGTAATTCAGAATTTCCTCGGAATTCTATAAAATACAATGCTAGGGGGAAAGCATTTGAAGGAAAGAAAGTCATGTAGGAATTTTACTTCAGTATCAAATAATATATAAACCAATCAGAAACTAAAAGCTCTGATTAGTAAAGTTTTAGCTGCGTTCAGCTTATTTAGCTGAGGATAAAGCTGAGATAATGTAAACCGAATCCTGTGAATGTTGGTTTACGATAAACCTAGAAAATTGATTTGCAATGAACAAATCCACAAGGGCCGTGAGGAGGGTTTGAACCTACGTCCGAGAGGATCCCACACCCTGCCCTAATCGACTGAGCTACGACATGGTTAAAAGAATTGCAAGCAGAGGTCCTGGTTTTTGTCTAGGAGAGGCTGCAGGGTCCAAGTAAGCTTAGGCAGTAGAACGTCTGGTTGCAATTATTTTAACCATGTCGTAGCTAAGTCGATTAAGGCATATATAAAATATATATATATATATTTTAAAACACCATAAAGCCAACCTATTTTAAAATAGGGCATGAAAGGATTATTATTAAGCTTTACACCTATGTGAATTTTAATGTCATAAAAACCTTTTTAATTTCAAGCTTTAATATAAAAGAAGGCGTGTCAGCATTCAAAAATCTGAATTTGGAGATGTCTTCGAAAAACTATTTTGTTACAGTAATTAATTTTATGAAGTATCAGTGTTCCACGACACTTATCAGGTCTGGTAATTCTAAGATTTTCAGCAGACGGGAAGAGATAGAGTCTCTGTCTCTGACAGGGACACAGACAGGTATAAAGACGGAGACACAGACAGATAGAGAGACATACAGAGAGGGAAAACGAGGTACAGAGAGAAACCAAAAGAAACAGGGATATGCAGAGTGGGATTCAGCTAGACAAAGATACACAGAGTGGGATTTAGATAGAGATACACAGAGATACAAAGAGTTCGGGTGTGTCTTCCCAGTACTATTTGTCGTACAACACTTTGAAGCTACTGACGGTTTTGGCCTCCACCACCTTCTCACTTAGATTGTTCCAAGTATATGACTATTCTCATATACTATAAAACCAAGAAGGCCACTGACCTCCTTATCAAAAACAGCCCGAAGCCGACGGAGAACCCTCTACAGCAGTCAAGCGTTGTATACATGTACACTTGCCCCCACGAAGGATGTAACCTTCAATCTAAGTACATAGGTATGACGTCGACCAAGCTGACGAGGCGTTTGACCTGTCATCTTCAATCCGGTGCCCCTAAAAATCACATAAGACAAGCCCATGACATCACCCAAACAAGAGAAATGTTGAATAAAAACACTTGTATAATAGACAAAACCCAAGATGTAAGACGATTACAAATTCTTAAAGCAATTCACATAAAAGTCGAAAAACCCACCATAAATACTCTAAATAACGGAACTATTCATTCTACCCTCCCCAGCCAAGAAAACGGTCAATTTAAAGTGCCTTTATCCTAACCAAACAGAGGACCCAACACAGAAAACGGAACAGTACGTCACTTTTGCCAGCCGCTTTCATTTTCTAGTACGACAATTTTTTGGCCTTAGGTAACGCATACGTGCGAAATGCGACGTTCTTTGTGGTAGTGGTGGTGGTTGATGGGTGAGTGGTGGATAATTGTGGTTATTGAGTTGTGGTTGATAAGGGGTTGATGGTGGTTACTGTTAAGAGTGGATGGAGGTGAATGGTTAGGTGTTGATGGTGGTTGTGGTGGTTGTGAAGGGTGGTTGACGAGGGGGGGGGGGGTTGGAGATGGTTGTGGATGGTGGTTGATGCCCCCTAACCCCCCCCCCCCCACCCACCCACCGCCCTGCTCTTCTATTCCCTTTAAACTCGGTGCTTGGAGGTCCTGCCCGCCTGCCCGACCAAAAATCAATGGGTTGCTTTAGTGTCCGGTGTGAGGGTGTGAGGGTCGTACCTCACAGTTCGTACCGTGAGGTGGCGTACCCTCAGGCTTCGTACCGTGAGGTGACGGCTCCTCAGGCGTCTAACCGTACCCTTTGGCGTGGTACCGTGAGGTGACGTACCCTCAGGCGTGGTACCGTAAGGTGACGGCTCCTCACATGTCGTACCGTGAGGTGACGACTCCTTAGGCGTCTAATCGTGAGGTGACGTACCCTCAGGCGTCGTACCGTGAGGTGACGGCTCCTCACATGTCGTACCGTGAGGGGACGTACCCTCAGACGTCGTACCGTGAGGTGAGAAGGTACAACAAGTGCGCATCACATCCTGCAGAAGGCGACGACGCTGTGGAGGCGGCGGCCATCTGTCGGCGGAGTGTGGCAACACGCCTCTATGGCGCCCCTCTGCTGTTCCTCTGGCAGCTCCTCTCCCTCTCTCACTCTCTCTCACCCCAGTGAGAGGGGGAGGGGGAGGCCCTCACACACCCTCCCAGGTCTGCTGCTGCTGCCGCCCAGGACTCTCTCGTCTTACCCTACGGTGGCTGTCTGCAGTCTCTGCTCTCTCGTTCCTACTGCTCCTGTATCTGCCAAACGCCTTTAAGACCGGCTTGTTTGACGCTGGGAACACACAGCCGCCATGGTAAATATCCACAGCTATCCTGTGTGCGTGTGTGTGCGTGTGGTGGTGGATACAAGGTGTGTGTGTGTGTGTGTTTGCGTGTGTGTGTGTGCGCGCAATCTGCTTGCTTCCCTCCCTACCCCCTGTACCGGGCATGCCTCCTATACTAGGTGAACCTCTAGCCCCTTCCCCCTCCTCTTCCTCTCCCCTCATAGCCCCCTTAGCCCCCCTTCCCTCACTCCTCCTCCCCCTCTAAGCCCCCCTCACCCTTTCCTACCCTTCCCTTACCTCACAGAGACCCCCATTTACCCCGTCCTTGGCTCTCCCCCCTCTCTCGTACCCCTCTAGCGCCCCTTCTCCCTCCCCCTACCCATTCACTAGGTACAGCACCCCCATACCCACCTTACCCATTCTTTTATCTCCCTTTACAAGTGCCTCATTACCCCTTACCTACCCGTTATCACCCCCTCCCTCACTCCCAGCGTCTCCCATCTGTTGCTGAACCTTGCGCCCATCCCCCCCATCTTTCTGCTCGCTTGTGCACCTCCCCTCTGCACTCTGGACCCTCCTGCACCTCCCTGGTGCACTCTGGACCCTCCTGCACCTCCCTGGTGCACTCTGGACCCTCCTGTACCTCCCTGATGCACTCTGGACCCTCCTGCACCTCCCTGCTGCACTCTGGACCCTCCTGCATCTCTCTGCTGCACTCTGGACCCTCCTGCACCTCCCTGCTGCACTCTGGACCCTCCTGCACCTCCCTGCTGCACTCTGGACCCTCCTGCACCTCCCTGCTGCACTCTGGACCCTCCTGCACCTCCCTGCTGCACTCTGGACCCTCCTGCACCTCCCTGCTGCACTCTGGACCCTCCTGCACCTCCCTGATGCACTCTGGACCCTCCTGCACCTCCCTGCTGCACTCTGGACCCTCCTGTACCTCCCTGCTGCACTCTGGACCCTCCTGCACCTCCCTGATGCACTCTGGACCCTCCTGCATCTCTCTCCTTCACTCTGGACCCACCGCCACACCAGGTGGTATCTCGCCCTCCAACTCCCACTCCACCCTCCAAGTAATTGCTTGACGCACGTCGCTGCGCCTCACCTCTCCACCTCCAAGCAGCAGCTAGGTCGCTCTTCGCCCCTTCCTTTCCCCCCCCCCTCTCCACCCCCCCCCCCTTTTCCCCCAATTCCACCCCTCACTCTTCCCCCTTAAACCCCTTGGCGGTTGTTTCCCTCTTGCACTGAAGTCCGCGTAGCGCGCAGTCCTCCGCCAATAGAGTTGAAATGCGCGCCAAGTTATTAGCGCAATTGGTCGACAAAGGCACACTAACTACCGGTGCGGCCGGTTGTTAGTGTGTCTTTGTGACGAACTACTTCTAGGGTTAACGAAGGGCGGGAGTATATGTGGGTCTGCAGGAGTCGTACCTCAGCCAGGCCGAGGACGACCCTCTCGGCGCCTGCGCTCTTCTGCTGCGCCTGCGTCGTGGAGAGGGGGGGGGGGGAGAACTGGTGAGGGATAGAAAAGAGAGAAGGAAAGAGTTGATGTGAGAGAGAGAGAGAGGGGGGGGAGGGATCTATCAGGAGAAAGCGACAAGACATTACGACTGTATAGTTGAGAGAGTGATTGACATGACCTAATGAATAAATTGAGTATTTTGTGAGCCCTAAATAGTGTAGTGTAGGCCTTAAACAGAGTAGTGTGAGCCCTAAATAGTGTCGTCAGCTCTGAACAGGCTAGTGTAAGTCCTAAATAGTGTAGTGTGAGCCATAAAGAGTGTATCGTCAGCTCTGAACAGTGTAGTGTGAGAAGTATAGAATCGGTCATCAACAGTGTACCCATAAACAATGGGAGCACTGGACAGTGTCTAGTATGATCCCCCCTGAGCAGTGTAGTGGGAGTGGTGAACAGTGTAGCGTGACCCATGAGCAGTGCTCACTATTGTCAAGGTTCATTAGGTAGTTCACACTAAATGGTCCTGAGTAGGGTATAGCAAGGTGGCCCACTCTGTACCGGTGTCAGCAGGGTACAGCAAGGTGACCCAATATGTACCAGTGTCATCAAGGTGCCCCACCATGTACCAGTGTCAGCAAGGTGCCCCACCATGTACCAGTGTCAGCAAGGTGCCCCACCATGTACCAGTGTCAGCAAGGTGCCCCACCATGTACCAGTGTCAGCAAGGTGCCCCACCATGTACCAGTGTCAGCAAGGTGCCCCACCATGTACCAGTGTCAGCAAGTTGAGAATGAACACCTGGCTACTTTCTCGTGTGTCACAAGACCAGACTGAACACATCTGGCTGCTCAAAACGTGTCCAAAGTGAACAAACTTGTTCAAAGTGAACGTAACTTAGACCAGGAATCGATGTTCAAGATCCAAGTCAACTATCATTAACCCCAAGGCGGTGCTTTTCTTCCCGTCACATCACTCCTTGATAGTTAAGAAGATCGTTAGAAGCAGTTGCCTACGGTCCTTCTGTTTATATATACCTACAGCAGTGCGTTCGCGATTACCACCTTTTACAAACTATTTTGTGTATGTGTTCGCTTGTTTGCGATGGTTGAAGTGTATCTGTGGCTGGATGGTGTGTTTGTTGACTCAACAAATTCTATAATTTGGCGTAGTATGGAAAGAGTGATAGTCATAATGGCTGTGTTCTCGTGACGGGAACACTGTCTTGGTCAGTGAGTGGTTCTTGGTGGAGGGAGGTGTGAAGGTGTTCTAGAAGTGTGAGGTATGAATGAGGGAGCAGCCAAGAGACAATAAAATAGTTATATACTATTAGTGAGCCTGACAAGTGACGCACAGACCAGCCACAAAGTGACGTGGAACCGCTGGGTTAGGGGAGGACTCATTTAACTTCTCGCTACACCTGCAGCCAAGACCTTTACAACAATTTTAAACTAATGGTAAGTACCCCATTATGGGTTCAGCTTGAATGGGTACGTACACACTTAGACTATAGTGTGAATACAGTGAGCTGTCACATTAAACATATTTCCTAGCGTCTGGGAAGTCACGTGGTCCACACTGTACACAGAGTCCACCAATCACGAGCGTCGGGAAGGTAAATAAAGAATGACGTCATTCCACCAATCACGAGCGTCGGGAAGGTAAATAAAGAATGACGTCATTCCACCAATCACGAGCGTCGGCGAAGTAAATAAACAATGACGTCATTCTACCCTGCGCCTCATGGCCGCTGTCAGAAAATTGAACATGATGTAGTTCTTGTTACTGACGGTGATCGTCAAAATAGACAACATGACATTACCTAACTAGATATATCTCGTGTTGCGTCACGATAGATTCGTGTTGCGTCATTACAGATACAGGACGTCCACCTATTGACCGTGTGGGGTACTAGTGTCCACCTACTGACCGTGGGGGGTAGTACTAGTGTCCACCTACTGACCGTGGAGGGTACTAGTGTCCACCTACTGACCGTGGGGGGTACTAGTGTCCACCTACTGACCGTGGGGTGGTACTAGTGTCCACCTACTGACCGTGGAGGGTACTAGTGTCCACCTACTGACCGTGGGGGGTACTAGTGTCCACCTACTGACCGTGGGGTGGTACTAGTGTCCACCTACTGACCGTGGAGGGTACTAGTGTCCACCTACTGACCGTGTGTGGTACTTGTGTCCACCTACTGACCGTGTGTGGTACTAGTGTCCACCTACTGACCGTGTGGGCTACTAGTGTCCACCTACTGACCGTGTGTGGTACTAGTGTCCACCTACTGACCGTGTGGGGTACTAGTGTCCACCTACTGACCGTGGAGGGTACTAGTGTCCACCTACTGACCGTGGGGTGGTACTAGTGTCCACCTACTGACCGTGGGGGGGTACTAGTGTCCACCTACTGACCGTGGGGTGGTACTAGTGTCCACCTACTGACCGTGTGTGGTACTAGTGTCCAACTACTGACCGTGTGGGGTACTAGTGTCCACCTACTGACCGTGTGTGGTACTAGTGTCCACCTACTGACCGTGGGGTGGTACTAGTGTCCACCTACTGACCGTGTGGGGTACTAGTGTCCACCTACTGACCGTGGGGGGGTACTAGTGTCCACCTACTGACCGTGGGGTGGTACTAGTGTCCACCTACTGACCGTGTGTGGTACTAGTGTCCACCTACTGACCGTGTGGGGTACTACTGTCCACCTACTGACCGTGGGGTGGTACTAGTGTCCACCTACTGACCGTGGGGTGGTACTAGTGTCCACCTACTGACCGTGTGTGGTACTAGTGTCCACCTACTGACCGTGGGGTGGTACTAGTGTCCACCTACTGACCGTGTGGGGTACTAGTGTCCACCTACTGACCGTGGGGTGGTACTAGTGTCCACCTACTGACCGTGTGGGGTACTAGTGTCCACCTACTGACCGTGGGGGGTACTAGTGTCCACCTACTGACCGTGTGTGGTACTAGTGTCCACCTACTGACCGTGGGGGGGTACTAGTGTCCACCTACTAACCGTGTGTGGTACTAGTGTTCACCTACTGACCGTGTGTGGTACTAGTGTCCACCTACTGACCGTGGAGGGGGTACTAGTGTCCACCTACTGACCGTGGGGGGTACTAGTGTCCACCTACTGACCGTGTGTGGTACTAGTGTCCACCTACTGACCGTGTGTGGTACTAGTGTCCACCTACTGACCGTGGGGTGGTACTAGTGTCCACCTACTGACCGTGGGGGGGTACTAGTGTCCACCTACTGACCGTGTGGGGTACTAGTGTCCACCTACTGACCGTGGGGGGTACTAGTGTCCACCTACTGACCGTGGGGGGTACTAGTGTCCACCTACTGACCGTGTGTGGTACTAGTGTCCACCTACTGACCGTGTGTGGTACTAGTGTCCACCTACTGACCGTGGGGGGGTACTAGTGTCCACCTACTGACCGTGGGGGGTACTAGTGTCCACCTACTGACCGTGTGTGGTACTAGTGTCCACCTACTGACCGTGTGTGGTACTAGTGTCCACCTACTGACCGTGTGTGGTACTAGTATCCACCTACTGACCGTGGGGGATACTAGTGTCCACCTACTGACCGTGGGGGGGTACTAGTGTCCACCTACTGACCGTGTGGGGTACTAGTGTCCACCTACTGACCGTGTGTGGTACTAGTGTCCACCTACTGACCGTGGGTGGTACTAGTGTCCACCTACTGACCGTGGAGGGTACTAGTGTCCACCTACTGACCGTGGGGGGGTACTAGTGTCCACCTACTGACCGTGTGGGGTACTAGTGTCCACCTACTGACCGTGGGGTGGTACTAGTGTCCACCTACTGACCGTGGGGGGTACTAGTGTCCACCTACTGACCGTGTGGGGTACTAGTGTCCACCTACTGACCGTGGAGGGTACTAGTGTCCACCTACTGACCGTGGAGGGTACTAGTGTCCACCTACTGACCGTGGTGGGTACTAGTGTCCACCTACTGACCGTGGGGGGTACTAGTGTCCACCTACTGACCGTGGGGTGGTACTAGTGTCCACCTACTGACCGTGGGGTGGTACTAGTGTCCACCTACTGACCGTGGGGTGGTACTAGTGTCCACCTACTGACCGTGGGGGGGTACTAGTGTCCACCTACTAACCGTGTGTGGTACTAGTGTCCACCTACTGACCGTGTGTGGTACTAGTGTCCACCTACTGACCGTGGGGGGGGGGTACTAGTGTCCACCTACTGACCGTGGGGGGTACTAGTGTCCACCTACTGACCGTGTGTGGTACTAGTGTCCACCTACTGACCGTGTGTGGTACTAGTGTCCACCTACTGACCGTGGGGTGGTACTAGTGTCCACCTACTGACCGTGGGGGGGTACTAGTGTCCACCTACTGACCGTGTGGGGTACTAGTGTCCACCTACTGACCGTGGGGGGTACTAGTGTCCACCTACTGACCGTGGGGGGTACTAGTGTCCACCTACTGACCGTGTGTGGTACTAGTGTCCACCTACTGACCGTGTGTGGTACTAGTGTCCACCTACTGACCGTGGGGGGGGTACTAGTGTCCACCTACTGACCGTGGGGGGTACTAGTGTCCACCTACTGACCGTGTGTGGTACTAGTGTCCACCTACTGACCGTGTGTGGTACTAGTGTCCACCTACTGACCGTGTGTGGTACTAGTATCCACCTACTGACCGTGGGGGATACTAGTGTCCACCTACTGACCGTGGGGGGGTACTAGTGTCCACCTACTGACCGTGTGGGGTACTAGTGTCCACCTACTGACCGTGGGGGGTACTAGTGTCCACCTACTGACCGTGGGTGGTACTAGTGTCCACCTACTGACCGTGGAGGGTACTAGTGTCCACCTACTGACCGTGGGGGGGGTACTAGTGTCCACCTACTGACCGTGTGGGGTACTAGTGTCCACCTACTGACCGTGGGGTGGTACTAGTGTCCACCTACTGACCGTGGGGGGGTACTAGTGTCCACCTACTGACCGTGTGGGGTACTAGTGTCCACCTACTGACCGTGGAGGGTACTAGTGTCCACCTACTGACCGTGGAGGGTACTAGTGTCCACCTACTGACCGTGGTGGGTACTAGTGTCCACCTACTGACCGTGGGGGGTACTAGTGTCCACCTACTGACCGTGGGGTGGTACTAGTGTCCACCTACTGACCGTGGGGTGGTACTAGTGTCCACCTACTGACCGTGGGGTGGTACTAGTGTCCACCTACTGACCGTGGGGGGTACTAGTGTCCACCTACTGACCGTGGGGGGTACTAGTGTCCACCTACTGACCGTGGAGGGTACTAGTGTCCACCTACTGACCGTGGTGGGTACTAGTGTCCACCTACTGACCGTGGGGTGGTACTAGTGTCCACCTACTGACCGTGGGGTGGTACTAGTGTCCACCTACTGACCGTGGGGTGGTACTAGTGTCCACCTACTGACCGTGGAGGGTACTAGTGTCCACCTACTGACCGTGGAGGGTACAAGTGTCCACCTACTGACCGTGTGTGGTACTAGTGTCCACCTACTGACCGTGGAGGGTACTAGTGTCCACCTACTGACCGTGTGGGGTACTAGTGTCCACCTACTGACCGTGGGGTGGTACTAGTGTCCACCTACTGACCGTGGAGGGTACTAGTGTCCACCTACTGACCGTGGGGTGGTACTAGTGTCCACCTACTGACCGTGGGGTGGTACTAGTGTCCACCTACTGACCGTGGGGTGGTACTAGTGTCCACCTACTGACCGTGGGGGGTACTAGTGTCCACCTACTGACCGTGGGGGGTACTAGTGTCCACCTACTGACCGTGGAGGGTACTAGTGTCCACCTACTGACCGTGGTGGGTACTAGTGTCCACCTACTGACCGTGGGGTGGTACTAGTGTCCACCTACTGACCGTGGGGTGGTACTAGTGTCCACCTACTGACCGTGGGGTGGTACTAGTGTCCACCTACTGACCGTGGAGGGTACTAGTGTCCACCTACTGACCGTGGAGGGTACAAGTGTCCACCTACTGACCGTGTGTGGTACTAGTGTCCACCTACTGACCGTGGAGGGTACTAGTGTCCACCTACTGACCGTGTGGGGTACTAGTGTCCACCTACTGACCGTGGGGTGGTACTAGTGTCCACCTACTGACCGTGGAGGGTACTAGTGTCCACCTACTGACCGTGGGGTGGTACTAGTGTCCACCTACTGACCGTGGAGGGTACTAGTGTCCACCTACTGACCGTGGAGGGTACTAGTGTCCACCTACTGACCGTGGAGGGTATTAGTGTCCACCTACTGACCGTGGAGGGTACTAGTGTCCACCTACTGACCGTGGAGGGTACTAGTGTCCACCTACTGACCGTGGGGGGGGTACTAGTGTCCACCTACTGACCGTGGAGGGTACTAGTGTCCACCTACTGACCGTGTGTGGTACTAGTGTCCACCTACTGACCGTGGGGTGGTACTAGTGTCCACCTACTGACCGTGGAGGGTACTAGTGTCCACCTACTGACCGTGGGGTGGTACTAGTGTCCACCTACTGACCGTGGGGTGGTACTAGTGTCCACCTACTGACCGTGGAGGGTACTAGTGTCCACCTACTGACCGTGGGATGGTACTAGTGTCCACCTACTGACCGTGGAGGGTACTAGTGTCCACCTACTGACCGTGGGGTGATACTAGTGTCCACCTACTGACCGTGGAGGGTACTAGTGTCCACCTACTGACCGTGGAGGGTACTAGTGGCCACCTACTGACCGTGGAGGGTACTAGTGTCCACCTACTGACCGTGGAGGGTACTAGTGTCCACCTACTGACCGTGGTGGGTACTAGTGTCCACCTACTGACCGTGGAGGGTACTAGTGTCCACCTACTGACCGTGGGGTGGTACTAGTGTCCACCTACTGACCGTGGGGTGATACTAGTGTCCACCTACTGACCGTGGAGGGTACTAGTGTCCACCTACTGACCGTGGAGGGTACTAGTGGCCACCTACTGACCGTGGAGGGTACTAGTGTCCACCTACTGACCGTGGAGGGTACTAGTGTCCACCTACTGACCGTGGTGGGTACTAGTGTCCACCTACTGACCGTGGAGGGTACTAGTGTCCACCTACTGACCGTGGAGGGTACTAGTGTCCACCTACTGACCGTGGAGGGTACTAGTGTCCACCTACTGACCGTGGTGGGTACTAGTGTCCACCTACTGACCGTGGTGGGTACTAGTGTCCACCTACTGACCGTGGTGGGTACTAGTGTCCACCTACTGACCGTGGAGGGTACTAGTGTCCACCTACTGACCATGGTGGGTACTAGTGTCCACCTACTGACCGTGGGGTGGTACTAGTGTCCACCTACTGACCGTGGAGGGTACTAGTGTCCACCTACTGACCGTGGAGGGTACTAGTGTCCACCTACTGACCGTGGAGGGTACTAGTGTCCACCTACTGACCGTGGAGGGTACTAGTGTCCACCTACTGACCGTGGAGGGTACTAGTGTCCACCTACTGACCGTGGAGGGTACTAGTGTCCACCTACTGACCGTGGGGGGGTACTAGTGTCCACCTACTGACCGTGGGGGGTACTAGTGTCCACCTACTGACCGTGGAGGGTACTAGTGTCCACCTACTGACCGTGGGGGGTACTAGTGTCCACCTACTGACCGTGGAGGGTACTAGTGTCCACCTACTGACCGTGGAGGGTACTAGTGTCCACCTACTGACCGTGGAGGGTACTAGTGTCCACCTACTGACCGTGGTGTCCTCCCACAGGTGAGGATGATCGGGGCCATGCCGGCAGTGGCTGTCAGGCAGCAGCAGAGGCGACACGTGAAGCAGGAGGAACTGAAGCACCGCCCCACCACCCTCACCATAGACGCCAGCGCCGGCTTCCCAGGTAAATATTCCTCCAACAACCCGTTCCTTCAACACTCATCAACACTCATCAACACTCTCTAACACTCATCAACACTCTCCAACACTCTCCAACACTCTCCAACACTCTCCAACACTCTCCAACACTCTCCAACACTCTCCAACACTCACCAACACTCACCAACTCTCACCAACACTCACCAACACACACCAACACTCTCCAACACTCTCCAACACTCTCCAACACTCACCAACACTCACCAACACTCTCCAACACTCTCCAACACTCACCAACACACACCAACACTCACGAACACTCTCCAACACTCTCCAACACTCTCCAACTCTCACCAACACTCTCCAACACTCTCCAACACTCTCCAACACTCACCAACACTCTCCAACACTCTCCAACACTCTCCAACTCTCACCAACACTCTCCAACACTCTCCAACACTCTCCAACTCTCACCAACACTCACCAACACTCTCCAACTCTCACCAACTCTCACCAACTCTCACCAACACTCTCCAACACTCTCCAACACCCACCAATCACATAACAATCAGCTGAAAGCAACTACAATCATTAATAATCACCCTGCATTACTGGTCTTTAACAATCAGCACGCCCAAGAACAATATCGAACAATCATCCCAATACAAACAATGCTTAACAAACCGTTAGAAACAATCATCTTTAACGCCCACTCCCAACAACAATAACCTAAAACAATTGCACCTTAGGAACAACTATCTTTAACAATCATCCCATGACATAGAGTCCAATCTTTACAATCACCACTTTCACACACATACATCTATACACACACACACACACACCCCTTCACGACACACACACACACATATACACACACACACACACACACATATACACACACACACACTTATACAACACACACACACACACACACACACACACACACACACACACATACACACACACACATACACACACACACACACACACACACACACACACATATACACACACACACACACACACACACACACACACACACACACACACACACACACACACACACACACACAGTTGAGTTGGGTGAGTTGGAAGCCCCCTTGGGAATGAGTGACCATAGTGTATTGACCTTTGAGTACCTGGTTGAGCTAGGAATTATCACCCCCAAAAAAGAACTGGGAAACAAAGGGCTGGCGTACCGAAAGGGAAACTATGAGGAGATGAATAAATTCCTATGGGATATACATTGGGACACAGAACTCGGAACCAAGTCCGTACAAGACATGATGGACTATGTCACCCAAAAATGTCAGGAGGCTGTAAGCAGGTTTGTTCCAGCCCAACAGGAAAAAACAGAGAAGCAAAGGAAGAATCCGTGGTTTAATAGGGAATGTATGAAAGCAAAGGAGCTGAACAAAAGGGCATGGAGGAACTTCCGTAATAACAGAACACCAGAAAGTAGAGAGAGATACCAGAGAACCAGGAACGAGTATGTTAGTGTGAGAAGAGCAGATGAGAAAAGGTATGAAAATGATATAGCTAATAAAGCCAAGACCGAACCAAAGCTACTGCACAGTCACATCAGGAGGAAGACAACAGTGAAGAAACAGGTGATGAAACTTAGGGTGGGCGAGGACAGGTACACAGAGAATGACAAAGAGGTGTGTGAAGAACTCAACAAAAGGTTCCAGGAGGTCTTTACAATAGAACAGGGAGAAGTCACGGCGCTAGGATATGTGGCAGCAAACCAGGTGACCTTGGAAAGGTTCGAAATTACAAGAGATGAGGTCAAGAAGCACCTATTGGAGCTGGATGTGAGAAAAGCTGTTGGGCCGGATGGAATCTCACCATGGGTATTGAAAGAGTGTGCAGGAGCACTTTGCTTGCCACTCTCCGTAGTGTATAGTAGGTCACTGGAAACGGGAGACCTACCAGAAGTATGGAAGACTGCTAATGTAGTACCAATATTTAAAAAGGGTGACAGACAAGAGGCACTGAACTACAGGCCAGTGTCCTTAACTTGTATACCATGCAAGGTGATGGAGAAGATTGTGAGAAAAAACCTAGTAACACATCTGGAGAAAAGAGACTTCGTGACAACCCATCAACATGGGTTCAGGGAGGGTAAATCTTGCCTTACAGGCTTGATAGAATTCTATGATCAGGTGACAAAGATTAAGCAAGAAAGAGAAGGATGGGCGGACTGCATTTTTTTGGACTGTCGGAAAGCCTTTGACACAGTACCCCATAAAAGGTTGATGCATAAGCTGGAGAAACAGGCAGGAGTAACTGGTAGGGCGCTCCAGTGGATAAGGGAGTACCTAAGCAATAGGAAGCAGAGAGTTATAGTGAGGGTGAGACCTCAGAATGGCGTGAAGTCACCAGTGGAGTCCCACAGGGCTCTGTGCTTGGACCTATCCTGTTTCTGATATACGTAAATGATCTCCCAGAGGGTATAGACTCATTCCTCTCAATGTTTGCTGACGACGCCAAAATTATGAGAAGGATTAAGACAGAGGAGGACAGCTTGAGACTTCAAGAAGACCAGGACAAGCTGCAGGAATGGTCGAACAAATAGATGTTAGAATTTAACCCAAGCAAATGTAATGTAATGAAGATAGGGGTAGGAAGCAGGAGACCAGATACAAGGTATCACTTGGGAGATGAAATACTTCAAGAGTCAGAGAGAGAGAAACACCTGGGGGTTGATATCACGCCAGACCTGTCCCCTGAAGCTCATATCAAGAGGATAACATCAGCAGCATATGCCAGGTTGGCTAACATAAGAACGGCCTTTAGAAACTTGTGTAAGGAATCTTTCAGAACATTATATACCACATATGTCAGACCAATCCTGGAGTATGCGGCTCCAGCATGGAGTCCATATCTAGTCAAGCATAAGACTAAACTGGAAAAGGTTCAAAGGTTTGCCACCAGACTAGTACCCGAGCTGAGAGGTATGAGCTACGAGGAGAGACTACGGGAATTGAACCTCACTTCGTTGGAAGACAGAAGAGTTAGGGGGGACATGATCACCACATTCAAGATTCTCAAGGGAATCGACAGGGATGATAAAGACAGGCTATTTAACACAAGGGGCACACGCACTAGGGGACACAGGTGGAAACTGAGTGCCCAAATGAGCCACAGAGATATTAGAAAGAACTTTTTTAGTGTCAGAGTGGTTGACAAATGGAATGCATTAGGAAGCAATGTGGTGGAGGCTGACTCCATACACAGTTTCAAGTGTAGATATGATAGAGCCCAATAGGCTCAGGAACCTGTACACCTATTGATTGACGGTTGAGAGGCGGGATCAAAGAGCCAGAGCTCAACCCCCGCAAGTACAACTAGGTGAGTACAACTAGGTGAGTACACACACTAGGGTAGGGGTTCAGCAGTGGTAGAACGTGAGGGGTAGGAGAGGGGAGAAATAGTGCCCAACTGCTTCGACTATCGGAGGCCTCAGTGTCCTCCCTCCCTCCCTCCTTGTGTACTCAGTCCCCTAAGTCAATCTTACATTTCCAACTGTACTCTCTTGGGAGAACGAAAACCGGTCAGATGTTGCCATAGCAACGCATCTTCAGCATCCAGCAGGCAGGATGCTGGTCTTAGTGACTGATCCTCATCTCACAGTCCCAGATGATGCTGGCTAATGATGAAGAACATGTTTGCGCGAGTGCTGTGTTGAGGCTAATTGGAATAGACCGTGATAGACAACAGAAATAGACATGAAGCGACAGAGGCAGATGGAGAAAATCAGAAGAAACGAATATATGAGAAGATGGATAATCTAACGTTAATATAAACGTTAATATAAACCCCATTAGAATAAAATGTGTCCGGGTAGAGAGAGAGAGAGAGAGAGGCAGCTTAGCTCATCTCCCAAGCGCCCATGGCGAGTTAGCAAGATTCATTTTATGTCAACTTTCTTCACCATTCCTTTATCTGTGCCCTTTTCTTGTCCATCTTTACCTGTACCTCCTTCCTTGTCCATCTTTGTCCCGGGCTGTGGTGGATATGTGGGCCTGCGGGCCGCTCCAAGCAACAGCCTGTTGGACCAAGCTCTCACAAGTCAAGCCTGGCCTCGGGCCGCTCCAAGCAACAGCGTGGTGGACCAAGCTCTCACAAGTCAAGCCTGGCATCGGGCCGCTCCAAGCAACAGCCTGGTGGACCAAACTCTCACAAGTCAAGCCTGGCCTCGGGCCGCTCCATGCAACAGCCTGGTGGACCAAACTCTCACAAATCAAGCCTGGCCTCGGGCCGCTCCAAGCAACAGCCTGGTGGACCAAACTCTCACAAGTCAAGCCTGGCCTCGGGCCGCTCCAAGCAACAGCCTGGTGGACCAAACTCTCACAAGTCAAGCCTGGCCTCGGGCCGCTCCAAGCAACAGCCTGGTAGACCAAACTCTCACAAGTCAAGCCTGGCCTCGGCCCCCCCAAGCACAGCCTGGTGGACCAAACTCTCACAAGTCAAGCCTGGCCTCGGGCCGCTCCAAGCAACAGCCTGGTGGACCAAACTCTCACAAATCAAGCCTGGCCTCGGGCCGGGCTTGGGGAGTACAAGAACTCCCAGAACCCCATCAAGAAATATCAAGCCTTTAAATGAATATATATATATTTATATATTAGAGGATTTATGTGATTAGACCTTACACGATTAGTTAATGGGAGCGGAATGGTGTTTGTAGCGTGGGAAAGGGGAGGGGAAAGAAGATATGGAAGGAGGGAGGGAGGGTAGAAGCAAAGAGGAACGGTCGAAGGGAAGGGTTGAAATGGGACAGAATTAAGGCGAGTCCTGGAGCTGCAGTCTCTGTTTATCACAATAAATTGCCTGTTTCAGATAGATGTCTAGATAAATTGGTCTTACTAGTGATAAACAATAGATAGCACTCGTATGACTAGATATATACACAGAAATAAAGAGACCCCCTTACACACACACACACACACACACACACACACACACACACACACACACACACACACACACACACACACACACACACACACACACACACAGGTGAGTGTGTGTGGTGATTGAATGTTGATTGACGGTTGAGAGACGGGACCAAAGAGCCGAAGCTCAAACCCCCGCAAGCACAACTAGGTGAATACACACACACACACACACACACACACACACACACACACACACACACACACACACACACACACACACACACACACACACACTAACCAACTCCTCATAACACTGAAATCATTCAAAATATGTATTTAAAAACCTCTAGGATATGTGTTGTTGTACATATATAATGCTTTAAAACCAAAATATTGTATATTTGGCCCCATATCTTGAGAGTTTAATCAAAGTAGCCAAAGTATTCCCTCCCCCCTTTTTGTGAAAGATGTATACCCACACCTTTGGTAATGTTTACACTTGTCATCTAGCAAAGTCCTCCGCGGCGGTCACCAAGAAGGGTAAAACTCGGCTATCGAACCCCGACCTCCCTTCTCCCTGCCTCTCCCTCCTCTTACTGCCACGCATCTCTCACCTCTGTTGTATATTATTGTTATATTTTATACCATCTCCTCAAACCATCCCACCTCCCCCCCCCCCCCCACTCTTGAGTTGAGCCCCATGAGCAGAGTCCTCCTTTATGTATTTTATTTATGTAACTGCTAGTTTAGTTACATTATGTATCACATCTTCTGGAAGTATAAGCACGGGGTATTGTCATGGCAGCCGTCTGCACTCCTGGCTAGTTCATCTGTAGCAGTAACTACTATAATAAACTACACTACCACCTGGAGTAACCACTCCAAGTGGTATGTCATTCTATAACACAATGTAATACAGGCTCTGGATAACAAAAGTTATTTCAGTGTTTAAAATACTAAAAAAAAATTGGTTCAGTGGATATCAGCTCCTAGATCATTAATGTGGAGTGTGTGTGTTGTTTACATAAGTCAATACAGTTACCAGCCGATGAATGACTGGCAACAGTTCATTATATAATCTACCTGTTATATAATCTACCTGTTATATCAAACAGACAGATGTGAACGCTGCCATGCTATATACCCTAGTTGTTATTTTATGATTGGAATGTAATTTTGTCATCACCCAAAATTTTTTCGTATTAGAAATGTTCTCGACCATTTTGTTCTAACTTTTCATTGGCTGAATAATATCGTAGGATATGATTTAGTAGCAAACAATTGGATCAGGGAAGGGGGAGCTGGTGTTCTGGGAGGAGGTTCAATTTAAGAGAAAGAGAGAGGAAATTATCTGGGGAAAGCACCAAGCCATTACGACTATATAGCACTTGGAAGGGGTCAGAATATGGATTTGGGATGGGACGGGGCAGGGAAGGAATGGTGCCCAACCACTTATGGACGGTCGGGGATTGAACGCCGACCTGCATGAAGCGTGACCGTCGCTCTACCGTCCAGCTCAAGTCGTTGGACGAGTTTAAGAGAGAGTACGTGTCCTCGAGGCACTCGAAGACAAGCTAAACCTGTGAACACCAACTCCTCTACCCCAGACTGACTCCTCATTCACAATGATATATCGTGCTTTATTTTTTTAGTATTTTTTGAGTTTGTTTTGCCCACTTCACTGGAAGTTCCTGGAAGCCAAAGACCTCTAAGGTTTCGGTACCGATGGAGGAGTGTTGGCGGTCTACGGGCTCCAGGTAACCAACATGAAGATTTGGACATTCTTGGAGCCCTTAGACATCCAAGAACTGGATGTCAATAGGAGCTTAGAAACCATCGAGGTCCTGGCTCTCCACTGGCTCCTGGTACACTGGTGGAAAGGTTTCTGGTACTCATGAGTCTCTAATGTCAACAAATTCAAGAGACTCGCAAACACAAGTGTTCACTGCTACCTTTAATGGCCCTCGGCTCCTTTGAAGGTATTTATAAATAATGTGTCAACTTTAAAATATAAAGAGGCGGCAGATCTTTCAGACTCACAACCTCTGTCAAACTCATACTGATTGGCCTACGGGGTATACATATCAAATAGGTAGTGACGAGATAGCATGCATTATATGCACCTCAGTTACTGAAAACATTCTGGTTCTGTGTAAGCGGAAACAACAATGAATCTAATGTTGTCTGTCTGGCCAGTATGTGTAGTAAGTCATGTAGCTGTGCGGCCCTGTCTCTCCTCTCGCTGCTGGATCCCATCCAAAATAGTGCCCTTTTTACCACGCTGGGAGCAATGCCTTCCTCGCCAGTCCTCTTCCCCCATGCCAGGTCGAGGGCCCCCTGAAATTGGAGCGTCTCGTGTGTTGCCAGCTCGGGGATCGCACTCCTTCCTGCTTCCTATCCCCTTACCTCCCTACGGGGCGAGACCCACTGGTGCGAGGAGCCTGTCGGATGTCCCCACAAACCCTGGGGACTTGGTACTAGGATTCTGTTCCCCCTTCCCGGCCCGACTCCTGGTCCAGTCGCCTCTCCAGTGACTGGAGAGGCGACTTATCTACGTGAACGTATATTTCTCCCACCAATTCCGCATGCAAAATGTTGGAAAGCAAAACATCGGTTTTTGCAGTCACCGAGCCTCTAAATATGCAGATGCGGCTGCATATTTTGAGTCTTTGTCCTTTTGCTATGTAACTAAACTCTCCCACGTCCACTCCAGCCGGTCGGGAGACTTGCTCGCGATTCTGCCTGTTCTTCATCTCCTCCGAGGACCCAGGGACAGAAAACAGGACTTCACGTCAATATCGCGAGCTCCTGCCATTTTTAATATATCAGCTTTTGGAACCTTCTCAAGGGGTTCTACCATTGTCCGTGGGCCATCCATCCCGACAGAAAGCCTCACAGAGAACCTCCATTGTGTCCGCCTGACAATCTTCCTACTGCCAGTAGTACCGAAACCAAGAGGTTACCGCGCATCCTTACGGCACTGGGTTTTACAGCGCTCGTACGAGGCTTCGGTTGTGTATTTCCCGCTTCTTCCCGTTCTAATAGACGGGGCTGGCACGCGGGACGACGATGCCAGATATGAGAGATTTAGTCACGCTTTACGGTTAATCGACGACGCCAGCTGTCTAAACAGACTGTAGGATAATTCCAACAACTTTCATCATTTTCCTAACCCAAGCAGCCGGGGCGCTTCCGTTCCTCTGGTCGTCTTCGCTCCAAAATCAACAGCACCACGTCAACTTTTCGAAATAATAAAACGCTTGTTTGAAGAGTTTACAAAATTATGGATTTATATATGAAAAAAATATTATAAAACCAAATAAAAAGTCATCCTTGTCATATCAAGAATTTCCATCTTACGCTTATTAATATATTTTCTTGTCGGAAAATCAGTGCTCCGTTTACTAATATTATCCCTTTATATAAATATTTGCGTTTTCTTTCCTCACGGCAGCAGAAAGGGCTTTTGGAGGTAAGCTAAAATAAAATTTGCTTCCACAAATCCATTTCATACGAATGTACTGTAAAACAAATATTTTATTTTGCCACAACATTGCCATATGTCTTAAATAACTGCAATTGTTAAATGTATCCCCAGTCACTAGCTTCATTTCTCTGTTTACAAATGTAACTATGCAAGAGGCAACAGCTTTAAGCAGACGAGGAGTCACAATAACGTGGCTGAAATATGTTGACCAGACCACACACTAGAAAGCGAAGGGACGACGACGTTTCGGTCTGTCCTGGACCATTATTAAGTCGATTCTTGAGAATGGTCTAGGACGGACCGAAACGTCGTCGTCCCTTCACTTTCTAGTGTGTGGTTTGGTCAACAACAGCTTTAAGCTCAACAAGTCATCATGTAGGACAGAGAACAGGCGAAATTCTAGCACCCATAGGGTTATAAACCCATGGAACTACCTACCCGCCGAAACCGTAAATGTCAAGATATTACTGCAGTTCAAAATCCAATTGGGAAAAGAATCCTGAGGATCAATGGTAGGGAGGAACCTTTAAGACAAGCCGCCGGCTTCCTGTCCTCGCCGAGGCTTCTAGAGAGAGAGAGAGAGTGGCTCTCAGGTAAATTACAAATCGAAGTAAATTGCTAATGTAAAACTTAAAGGGATATATGCACTCCTAGGTAAACCTTTTTCCTTACAAGTGATAAATGTACCTTTTTCTTACCTAAAAAAGATAAGTGTTACCCTTTTTGTCCTTATTCGTGTGTATGTGAGCAAATATAATAATGTTTCCTTAGGTCACATTAGGCTATAATTCAGATTTAAACGCTTGTCGACGCCAAGTATATCAATAACGTCACAGGGTTTTATGTAGCTTTCAAACTTGCTGTAATGGCTTGTACCTTTAAGATTAAACTAAGGTGTACAACTGTTATCTATGTTGAACCTGCAGGTGGAGCTAAAGATTACTGAGGCCTCACGAGCAGCTGGAGAACCTTCACCAGTGGTACCTCTCGCCATTCTCTGCTTCCAATACATCTTTTGTTCCTGTTTTGTAGCATAAAATTACTTTCGACAACCCTGCATTTTGAATCAGCTTTTTAAGCTATTCTTGAAACGATTAAAATATATGTTTTTGTAATGTAATTAATTTTTGTTACTCAAGTTGAAAGTAAACAATGCAGTTGTATTTAAACTAGCATAAATTAATGCCTTATTCATTTGATATAATTAGCAAAACAAGCTGTTTGTATCCATGGTTGTCGAATAATGTAACTTGCCTTAGTTATTCATCAAAACACCAAGTTTAAACTCATTAAAAAAGCTTTAAATTTCCTTTAATAAGATTCATAGCATAATTTATATATTTTATTAAATCATTTTGTTGTGATATATATAGATATATATACAAATAATTGCCGTTACTTCTTTTTTTTTTACAAATGTGACCCCTTAGATATACAGCATTGTTTGTTTATGTTCTGTGCTGCTTAGTGCGTCCCCAAGGGGGAAGGAGGGGTAAGCCTAGCCCAGTTGACGCCAGTGTTCCTCTCATGCTTACCCTATTTACTACCTCAGCTGTTGCTTCATTAACCGTCCAGTCGTCGGTGTGGGCTTGCTCTCTCTCTTTCTCTCTCTCTCTCTCTCTCTTATATATTTATTTCTCTTTCACTCTCTCTCTCTCTCTCTCTCTTCCAAAAACCTCCCCACTCAAAATATCGTTGGGGGGGTGTTTCGTTTCCAATATCTATAATTTTCTTAAGCCTATTTATTAATTCATCATTGTTATTTTTAATGATTACGTTCTTCTTACCTTATTTCCATGTCTCCACTATCTTGGTGAATTCATATACAGTATATATTTATTTTTCTTCGTATCATAAAATATTCTTCATCATTTTATTTTTACCAAAACCTCTCCTCCGTCTTTTCTGCTGTCCTTTCCTCTCATGTATTCCCTTCCTGCCTCTCATTTTTTCCCTTTACATAATTCTCATATTCCCTTCCATCGTCTCCTTTCCCTTCTCCACAATTGTGGTATTCGCTTCCTTCCTCTCCGTTTCCTTTTCCCTTTCCATAATTCTCATATTCCCTTCCACCGTCTCCCTTCCTTCTCCACAATTGTGGTATTCCCTTCCTCTCCGTGTCTTTCTTCCCCCTTTCCATAATTCTCATATTCCCTTCCACCGTCTCCTTTCCCTTCTCCACAATTGTGGTATTCTCTTCCTTCCATTCCTTCGTGTCCTCCTTTTCCCTTTCCATAATTCTCATATTCCCTTCCACCGTCTCCCTTCCCTTCTCCACAATTGTGGTATTCCCTTCGTGCCTCTCCTGCGCGTCCTTCCACCGCCTTGCCTCCCGCACTGCTGCTGGTCGGTGATGTGATCTGAGTACTTCGAGACGTTGTCTGCTGCCGCTCCATTTTCCACAAAGCTTCTTAAATATTCTATTCGTAATTTAATTTTTTCCTCTACATGAAATACAAGTTCCAGCAACAATCAAGATTAACAGGTTATTTTTCAAATTAGATTTGTTTGTCTTAACTCATGTTTTTCGTAGAGGAAAATTTTAATATAAGAATTTTTAAGAATTGTGATTTAGACTGACAAATTGAGTATATGAACTCTCTGGCATTTAACTCTTAATGGTATTGTTCCCCCTTGTAAACGATAAAATACAAATTACCTTTGAAATGCAAATCAAACCAGTTTAAATTAAACAATGTTCATAAGTTTATAGTCGAGTGGACCCCGAGGCAGGGTAGTAGGCTGCGTCTCCTGTGTGTTGTGTATGGATTGTTGTGTTACTTCTTTATATGCCAACAAAGTTTTCTTACCTGGATTGCATCCAACTCATTCGTTTTCATTGGCTGCATTTTTTAATATATTTTCTGTCTCTTTTATTTCCTCTTAATTCCAAAATTACTGAGTGTGCCCATGAGGCTTCCACGTAGTAGGTCTTGTTGTGAGGCTTCCTCAAGGAAGCCTCTCCTCCACCTGTTGTCACACATCTTGCTGTCTTCCTTAAGTCTCACTGAATACAGTGTTACCTCATACTGTATCCCTTGGTGTATCACACTGCAGTATTGACTCAGGCATGGTGTTGGTTCTTATTGTGTTTCAGACTTTCTCCTATTATATGTCAAGAAATGCATAACTATAGCAGATGTTATATTGCTTGTGGTAATTCTTCATTAGTATGTGTAAATTATTAATGAGTAGTTTATATTGTGAAATATACAGTTGTGTTGTGAATAATATAACCCAGACGTTCCTTATCTCGCCTTAAATTACTTGCCTAATTTCTGTCCAAGAATCAAGCCTAGAGCTAATTTATTTTGTCTTTTAAAGTTGCTTACTAACCCCAATCAGGCCTGAATTAAAAAGTAGAACATTTTCTCTCATGAATTGGTATAACCCAGCTGCGTCTCTGCCAGGCCTCCCAACCCCAGTACGGAGTCCGAAGGCGTCTCCACGAACTACTCCACAGGCGTCGCCGGCCGCCTCGCCCAAGCAGTCTCCCGTCATCTCTCCCAAGACACAGCAGAAGCAGAGCGGGACACACGGCTGCGGTCACCGGTGTGTCCACGGTTACCTGTGCGGGCGTGTGTCCTTGCTACACATCTCGGTGGTGTGCGTCCTCTTGGGCATTATCCTGCTGGTGGTGGGCCTCGTCCAGCTCGCTCCGGGAGCTGGTAAGACACTATCATTCCTTAACCCCAAAAAAGTTCTCTTATAAAGATGATGCTTGTGCATTCGGAAAGATAACTACTTTCTCATAAAGATTTTTGCCTTTGCATGTCTTCGGTGTTAGGGCTGACAGCAGGAGAAGTACATGTTTTACATAATTGTCAATATTTCCTGAATTAATAAAATTTGGAGCAAGAGTCAAACCCTCGAGATCACTGAAGTATTAAATTAGCTGAATACTTAACTTATATTCTAATTATATAATAATACCCTTTAAACATTCTGTTCGCATTGTCTCTGCTTAAACCCACTCCAAATTTATTATTATTTTGTTGTTTTTTTAACAGTTTCTTGAACCAATATGTGTACCCGAGGTCACTGTAATTCAATGTGTGCTCAAACTTTCCCATTAAAGCTTGATCAAATTATTGCTTGCCATTTTGAGCTTATACTTCGCTGAAGCTTCAGCCCCTGACATCAAGTGACGCAGCCAATTTGCGTAACGCAAACATGCGTGACCCATTCAGACTGCGTGACGCAGCCAATATGCGTCACGCATATTGGCTGCGTGACTCAGCTACTATGCTTGACGCTGGGTCTTGCGTACTCATATTGTCCCCAAAAGTTGAATGCATAAAATATATAGAGACTTACAGTATAATGAATAAAACATGTTGTCAGTGTACTTTTAATTAATGACAATAATAATTGTTAATAAATGTACACCTGGCCAACACCTCACACGGCTTAAAACCTAAGTTTGACTCCAGAGCTCTAGAGCCCACGGACTATAGCCGCTCTATGCCATAATGCTCTGTGTCAGCATTGTGCACCTTATCATGCATATTTTTAACTATTTTATTTAGAGCCCTAGGACCAGTAAAAGTTTCTGAGTATGCTTGTATATATAGAGTGTTATGAAGTGTGTGAGTGCACATGTAAGGTTGGTGCGTGAGCCACACACACACACACACACACACACACACACACACACACACACACACACACACACACACACACACACACACACACACACAAGAGGGCAAGAGCTATGAGGAGAGGTTAGAAGCATTAAATATGCCAAAACTAGAAGACAGAAGAAAAAGAGGTGATATGATCACTACGTACAAAATAGTAACAGGAATTGATAAAATCGACAGGGAAGACTTCCTGAGACCTGGAACTTCAAGAACAAGAGGTCATAGATTTAAACTAGCTAAACACAGATGCCGAAGAAATATAAGAAAATTCACCTTCGCAAATAGAGTGGTAGACGGTTGGAACAAGTTAAGTGAGAAGGTGGTGGAGGCCAAGACCGTCAGTAGTTTCAAAGCGTTATATGACAAAGAGTGCTGGGAAGACGGGACACCACGAGCGTAGCTCTCATCCTGTAACTACACTTAGGTAATTACACTTAGGTAATTACACACACACACACACACACATATGTAGGTATTGCTTGCCACAATTCCTTTCTCTATTAGGTTCGTGCCTGTTGAATTCCCACGATGCATCAGTCTTGCTTTTCTATACCTACTCCCTTACTTGAATGTCATGTATACTAGAACCTTTGATGATTGTTTAGCCCTTTTTTTCTAATTATCTAGACGATAGTTGTAACGACTGTCTTGGTGCAGTTCTTTAGATAAAACCAATGTGACGTCTGTCTGATTATGTCTCTTGCCAAAACCTTTGTGACGGTTTTGTATGTATATATATTTACACAAAATCTTGACGTTGGTTTGTGTGTTTATTGATACGTTTATTGATAAACCTTCGTGACGGTTTTGTGTGTTTGTATATACCGTAGAAACAGACCTCTTAGACGGCTTTGTGTGCGTGTGTACCTCTTCCTATACTGATATGTGTCACGTATTTCATAATTATTTCATCTACAGCGACCGTGTTTGACAGTGGCCTCCCTCCAGGGTCAGAAATCAACAAATATGCCATCATCGGGGCCGGCACAGGCTTCCTCGGGCTAGGCTTCTTGCTCCTCATCGTCCTGTGTGCCTGCCAGAAGAACACACACAGGCGCAGACGCCCTCCCCCGCACCTCATCCAGGTAAATTTGAAGAGTCCTTCAGCTCCTATTTATTTTTTCTTTCAGTTCCCCCTTTTTCTTTATCACGTTCAGGTGATGCCCATTTTTTATGCTGCTCGGCCGATGCTCAATTGTTTATTGTCTTTGTTTACTTTTATTATTGCTTTAGCCATCGTCTCACCCTCATTCATCATGTCTCATACTTCATCGTCTCCCGTCACTCATCCTCCTCCTCCTCACAGCCCCTTCCCCTCATCATGTCACAAGATCAATATTTTCAAATGTAATTCTGACAGCTTCTAAAATTTGTCCTTTCTTTGGATCAAAACTAATATGTCTTAGGTGACATATTCTAGGAACTTGAAAAGTTTATGGTAGAAACCTGGCTAAATACGACATGTTTTGCAATAAAATATAAATTTGTTTTATTTTTATGTATTACACGATTCTAGAGTATTTATGTACATACTCGTGTATGTACATAAATACTCTAGAATTTATGTACATACATAAATATATATATATATATATATATATATATATATATATATATATATATATATATATATATATATATATATATATATATATATATATATATATATATATATATATATATATATATATATATATATATATATATATATATATATATATATATATATATATATATATATATATATATATACTAAGGTTGTATAACTGAGAGACCTGCAAGAAGATTGTTAAACTCTTATATCTTTTCATAAAGTTCTATCGTCATGGTTTTCTTAATTGATATCGGTTTTTATACAAATTTAAACTTTTATTGGTATTTTTTAAGTTTATATTTTGCTTGATAATTTTTTCTTTGTTTTTTATCGCTGATGACGGCGTGTTATCACCTATGGACAAAATGCGGAATAATCATTAAATGTTTGCCCTCGAGTCGTGTTCCAGGGATAACTTGTGTATAAGATTTATATAGCAACTTGAAGTCCTACAATAAACGTCGCTTTTCGCTCGTATGCGTTACCTAAGGCTAAAAAATTGTCATACTAGAAAATGGAAGCGGCTGGCGACAGTGAGCGTACTGTCCCGTTTTCTGTTTTGGGTCCTCTGGTGGGTTAGGAGAGACTACTTTAAATTGACCGTTTTATTGACGTTGGGAAATCTTAGGAGTACGGACTGAGGCGGTGAAAGCGTTTAAGGAAAGGAGAATTAAACGTTAGTTGTTGTGTTTCACTTTCTCTCTCTCTCTCTCTCTCTCTCTCTCTCTCTCTATATATATATATATATATATATATATATATATATATATATATATATATATATATATATATATATATATATATATATATATATATATATATATAATATATATCGTCCTACAAAGAATGGTTCTCGAATAAGAGAACGCAAGTACAACTAAGTGTGTGTGTGTACTCACCTAGTTGTACTTGCGGGGGGGATGAGCTTCGGCTCTTTGGTCCCGCCTTTCAGCCGTCAATCTACTGGTGTACAGAGTGTTGTGTGTGTGTGCGCAAGAGGACGCTTCTGGAGTTGACGATGAGTATGTCAACTTATTCTCAGTATCTCTCAAGGTCAGACGTTTACCTTCACCCAAACACCATTGTCTTATCAATTAGGTCAGTTGTTTCCTCCCACACACTCTCGCATCACACGACTGCTTCCTTGCGAAACCTGTACATCTTGCCTGCTTTGTTTGACACTGTTATGAGCTCCGAAACACAACGAGGTTACCTTGGTTACCTTGAGGTGCTTCCGGGGCTTAGCGTCCCCGCGGCCCGGTCGTCGACCAGGCCTCCTGGTTGCTGGACTGATCAACCAGGCTGTTGGACGCGGCTGCTCGCAGCCTGACGTATGAGTCACAGCCTGGTTGATCAGGTATCCTTTGGAGGTGCTTATCCAGTTCTCTCTTGAGCACTGTGAGGGGATTGCCAGTTATGAGGTTGTAGCAATCATAACTTGAGAATGGTCCAGGACGGACCGAAACGTCGTCGTCGCTTCACTTTCTAGTGTGTGGTTTGGTCAACATATTTCAGCCACGTTATTGTGACTCCTCGTCTGCAATAACCTCGGGTTGTGAGGTTTCCAAGCTTATAAATTCTTTAATAAATACAGACTAAACCGCCATGATTGAGGGCAAGATGTAGAGGTTTCGTAAATGCCTGATGACTGTGCTCTGAGTAAATCCACTAAGACCTCCACTGTCACCAGCATTGTCATGTCATAGTGATCCTCATGTCACATGCCTCGTCTACACTATATATAAAACACGAACTTGTATACTCTTTTGATCACGTTAGATTAAGATTAGTTCAGTTAAACGTGGACGTAATGCAGGGCACAGGGGGCCTGACGGCTGAGTGGACAGCGCTCGGGGTTCGTCATCCTAGGGTCCGGGGATCGATCCCTGGCGATGGCGGAAACAAATGGGCAACGTTTCTTTCACCCTGATGCATCTGTTCACATAGCTATTTACCTATGTAAATGGGTAAATAGTTATACAGCTGCTACGGGCTGCTTCCTGGGGATGTGTGTGTGTGTGTGTGTGTGTGTGTGTGTGTGTGTGTGTGTGTGTGTGTGTGTGTGTGTGTGTGTGTGTGTGTGTGTGTGTGTGTGTGAAAAAAAATATATATATGTATGCCAGTTGATTGATTGACAGTTGAAAGGCGGGCCGAAAGAGCCAGAGCTCAACCCCTGCAAGCACATCTATGTGAATACACAGGTGGAGAGACAGACTCAATACAGAGCACAGACAGATAGAGAGACAGACAGACAATCAGCGACTCAACACAATACCGTACACGTCATAGACAGGAACATAACCTACCAGAGGACCCAAAACAGAAAACGGGACAGTATGTCAATTTCGCCAGCAGCTACCATTTTCAAGTACGATTTTTTGGCCTTAGTGTAATACGTCAAAATGCGACGTTCTTAGAAGGGAACCGGTTGAGTGATCACCCAGTCTGTTGTGTTATGTATCATGTGTCGGCCTTGACTATATTCTGTGGCGACAGATTCCGTTCTTGCACAATACTGCTACTTTGAGACGTACTTTGGTAGTACTGGTTAGCCCTCTTGCAAGTCCTGAGGTTCCGGGGTTCGATCCCCGGTGGAGGCGGAGACAAATGGGCAGAGTTTCTTCCACCTTGATGTTCCTGTTCACCTAGCAGTAAATAGGTACCTGGGAGTTAGACAGCTGCTACGGGTTGCTTCCTGGGGGTGTGTAAGAAAAAGAAGGCCTGGTCGAGGACCGGGCCGCGGGGACGCTAAGCCCCGAAATCATCTCAAGAGAACTCATTTCAAACACGTTATTTCTGTTCGCTTTATCGACTTGTTGCTTGTGAGAACGTGTGTGTTTGTTTGTTTTATTCTTTGTTAACAAGGTGATGGGTCTTATGTCATCGGATACAATATTTGTTTGTTTGTTGGACTCTTCCTCCATTCACTTTCGTGAAGTCTGTTTCACTTTGAAGTTGAGTGCATTTTCTCTCTTTGCTAACTCCTTCCTTATTTCTTTATTCCTCCTCCTCTGCCACTCAAAGATTTCGTCAAACAGCGAAAAACGACACAAAAACACATGTATATATCTTGTTCTACGATAGTTCATCTCTCTCTCTCTCTCTGTCTCTCTCTCTCTCTCTCTCTCTCTCTCTCTCTCTCTCTCTCTCTCTCTCTCTCTCTCTCTCTCTCTCTCTCTCTCTCTCTCTCTCTCTCTCTCTCTCTCTCTCTGTCTCTCTCTCTCTCTCTCTCTCTCTCTCTCTCTCTCTCTCTCTCTCTCTCTCTCTCTCTCTCTCTCTCTCTCTCTCTCTCTCTCTCTCTCTCTCTCTCTCTCTCTCTCTCTCTCTCTCTCTCTCTCTCTCTCTCTCTCCCTCTCTCTCTCTCTCTCTCCTCTCTCTCTCTCTCTCTCTCTCTCTCTCCCTCTCTCTCTCTCGCCTCTCTCTCTCTCTCTCTCTCTCTCTCTCTCTCTCCCTCTCTCTCTCCATTGTACATCTATCAGTTTATCATTGCCCCATAGAGAGGTGGTACATGGCCTGGAGCCAGATTCACGAAGCAGTTGCGCAAGCACTTACGAACCTGTACACCTTTTCTCAATCTTTGGCGGCTTTGTTTACAATTATTAAACAGTTAATGAGCTCCGAAGCACCAGGAGGCTGTTTATAACAATAAAAAGTTTATTGGGAACTTTTCATGCTTGTAAACTGTTTAATAAATGTAACCAAAGCCGTCAAAGATTGAGGAAAGATGTACACGTTCGTAAGTGCTTGCGTAACTGCTTCGTGAATCTGGTCCCAGATCTGGATCAACATCTGGTTCACTAACAACAGCGATTCGAATCTCTAGACACACTTACGAATCCGCTAATCTCTCTCTCTCTCTCAGCGGATTAATTTGATGAATGATGAATTTAACACCATCAGTGGTATAGTGACCCCTGTCCGCTCACTAGGCTAGTAACCATGCTGTCCGCTCACTAGGCTAGTAACCCCCGCTGTCCGCTCACTAGGCTAGTAACCTGCTGTCCGCTCACTAGGCTAGTAACCCGCTGTCCGCTCACTAGGCTAGTAACCCGCCGCTGTCCGCTCACTAGGCTAGTAACCCGCTGTCCGCTCACTAGGCTAGTAACCCGCTGTCCGCTCACTAGGCTAGTAACCTCGCTGTCTGCTCACTAGGCTAGTAACCCGCCGCTGTCCGCTCACTAGGCTAGTAACCTGCTGTCCGCTCACTAGGCTAGTAACCCGCTGTCCGCTCACTAGGCTAGTAACCCGCTGTCCGCTCACTAGGCTAGTAACCCGCTGTCCGCTCACTAGGCTAGTAACCTCGCTGTCTGCTCACTAGGCTAGTAACCCGCCGCTGTCCGCTCACTAGGCTAGTAACCTGCTGTCCGCTCACTAGGCTAGTAACCCGCTGTCCGCTCACTAGGCTAGTAACCTGCTGTCCGCTCACTAGGCTAGTAACCCGCTGTCCGCTCACTAGGCTAGTAACCCACTGTCCGCTCACAAGGCTAGTAA